ACGGGAACCTGCAATATTAGTGTTTTTATTTTTTTTTCTTATTAGTGTGTACGAAATCGGACGTTTCTGCAACAGCTACGAGTGCAAGTGATCACGTGAATAAATGTTCAATGTACCTGGGATTGCCATGGTGACCAACATCATGAAATGAACGATGACTATGTTCGTTTCAAATATACATCGGTATCATTGCAGGAGTCTACAGGTGCAGCCGCCGCATTATTTGCTCGGAAAAAACCCTCTATTATTTTCAAAAGACAAATACTGTTTTATTTGGGAACACGAAAGAAAATGTTTCCTTTCGTTGGAATTGTGATTTTTCCAATTTCCTTTCTGCAAGAATTTTAAGTGTAAACTCTTAAATATTAAAGCTAAGTGATTCACATCCATTAACGTGTTTATTCATTTGCAATATTTACCCCCAAATTACGCAGTTGTTTTCAAGGTTGCTTACCGAAGTGTTATCGAATATCTACGTGTTAATTCCACACATTAACCCACAGTCCCTCAACACCGAGGGGGGGCTGTGATTAACCATATACCCTAAAAATAGTGTTTTTAGAGGTATATGCACTAAGCATGGTCCATGCATGAAGGTAATGGATACCAGATAAAAGAAGAACAGACATACTTATTAACGCGATGCCAGTCCTGCTACGTCATTTGCGCACTTTGTAGTTTTTAAAGCCCCCCAACTGCCCTATATAATAAACTTTTACGTACTATCAATTGAAAGCGCATGCGCATCCTCGTAGCTATTTCATTTGTGAATACTGTACTATGTATTTGCTAAGTTTGTAATTGTATTCGATAAATAACAGTCAAGTAAGTGTAATTTCGAACTATAATGGCCATACCTAGTAGAAATTACAGAATGGTGGCAGGTATAATAAATCTAACTATTACTATTAACAGCAAGTTTTACCTAAAACATTTTAATAACTGCACATCCCGTCGACGTTCAGTGTTTTTATTCATAGACATTACGTTTTATTTTTTGTATATGTGGGCAGACACGACCCGGGTGGTTGTTTGACTCTTTTAAATCAAATACTGCGTGTCCAAATTATTTTACAGAACACGTCCAATCTATGTGGTTAAAGCATGATTGTCCGTTCCCAATTGTACAGAGTCGAACGCCAAATATTGACTCTGGTAAAACTAACAAAGATCTGGTGAGAAATCGACACGACTAACAGAAGCTTACGGTAGAGAAAATTAAATTGAAATATTTCGAATGGGGGTGTATGTTTTTAGTATGTCGACACGGGATGTCAATATAACCTGACTAATTTTGCTGGTGACTCGGTAGTATGCGTAACACTTGACAGCACAGGCTTTGTCGATTTGCTTACGCTGAATCACGTCTGCGTCGTAATTGAAGTGCGAATAACGCATTACACGAATCTGACAATGAGAAGTACGCGACGGATCAAGAAGCTTATTGTCATCACTACAATTCGATTAAAGTGTTTAGATAAGTCTCAATTGGTGGTTTAGATATCAGTTATGTGATCTCTCTCTACCGGCGTGCTCGATCATATGCGAACAACTTCAGTCTATGCGGTGGCGAGTTTATTATTGAAATTGCATCCGTTTACGCTGAATAAATCATTACAGTTGTGTTTAACGTTAAAAACACGTGTCATAAAATTGACTTACAGGGAAATGAGCGACCACCTAGCTACCGCGTTGAATTACAGGGGAAATGAACGACCGTTTAGGTATCACGTGAATAGTCCCGATGTTTTGGATTATTCAGGCCCGGTGCAGACAGAGCGTAGGAGTGGGTCACACTGGAGGGAATTAACTGGATTTTGATTAAATTCGTCAGGATGCAATATTTACTTTTTTTTATTATTTGCCACAACAATTCATTGACCCTAGGGTTTATGAACAAATTAAATATATACACAGCGCAATCAAAAAATGTTGATAATGGTGCAGTTTAAGGACATACTGCTCAATTTAATAAGTGTTAGTACATGGTGCCAATGGTGCCAACAATAATATTGACAGATCGAGTTAATTCTACCTTTTCTCACTAAAAATAAACCAGCTCGACGGTCATAGAAAGAAGTTACTACATTGATGATGGGAGACGACTTTCAAATAATTAGTACAGATTGATTCTGTAATCATTTTGTCATCTCCTATCTTGGTATAAATGCATTATTGTGAATGTACATCGAAAATTAAGGCAGAAATGTCAACGTTGTTTAAAACATGTTTTTTTTTTTTTTTTTCTGTTATTTTGTGTAGCAAATATTTCAATTTATTGTCCGAATCCTGCCGATGAACTGAATAAACATTACAATAAAATGGACTATTATTATCTTAATATGGAAGTATACTGCATGCGTGTTCTATTCACTTGGGTACATATTATGAACATAGCTATATAGCCATAGTCGATGGCAATTTCAGATTTGGGGAAGTTATTTTATGATAACGTTAACTTCTTGGCGGTGAACAACATGCATTAACCCACAGAGATTCACATGCGAATCAAATCATATTTGTTTAGAAACATAATTATATCGCATTCCAATAGAGAAAGTTGATAGCTTATTAGGCAGTTCGCGAAAGTTACTTAGAAACTGAACAATTGTTTGTGGGACGATATAACTACTACTTCATACTTTACCGCAGAGTTTCCAAGCATGTAAACACCATATGAAGACCGCTAACTCCTGATACACCCGACGATACATCATGCCTTGTCGCATTGTCGCAGTCGTCCTGTCGTTATTCAATGAGAACGATCACTGTTTGACGATCAGGGTTGGTTAAAGCCCAGGAGACAGTATAGCCAATGTCCCAAGGCGATACTGATGGTCGAAGCATCAGTATGTAAATCCCGGGCTTCTACATTGATTAACATACATAATATCTTGTTCATTTCGCGCTAAACAATCCTACCAATTTGTCGAGGCCATTCAACCGTGAGCACGTGACTGATTTCGAGACTGACTTTTTCGTGGACTCGGACGGATAACCAATATCACTCAACTGTGGTATATAGTGATAATCAGTTGCTGCGAGAGATGGATAGAGCATGCGCAGAAACTTTCTACTGAGAGTATAGCAGCTCGGTTAAATACGCGTAGTGAATACAACGGTACAGTTAGTATACTGCGTTAGAGTTTGTGACGATAATTTTTTTTCGTTTTCTGCACTGGTTTTAATGTACGTTTTATAGGAAACGTGTTTACCGGAGAGTATAACGGTGAGAGAAGGTTCCATTGTTCTTTTTCAAAGGCAAGTTTAGCCGCGAGAAGTTTGTTCACTTCATCATGTTTCCATAGTGACCTCACGACTATTATATAGACCATGGGATATGTCAACAGGCGCATGTAGCGCCCTCAAGGCAAAACGAAAATTTTGCTCACAGGTCTGTATTTGTGTCCTTTTATCCTGTGTGTTTACTTGTTTTTTTCTCAATTGATATTGGTTCACATGTGACTTCAAGTTTTACCAGCACGTCATGGCGGGATCTAAAGCCAGTCCCGTGCTATCACAGAAGATATTCAACCAAACCTTGACCCTTTGACATTATAAAATGCTGATGGGATTCTAGTTACTTGGTGTGTTATTTTTAGGAATTAGCTGTCACATATAATTATATGATAGTTGATGCCTTCTGCAAAATATTACTTTTGTTCATAGGTCACCAGTTCATTGGTGCATATATATGTTTGACACGTGCTCGCATGACAAATAGAAATGCATGAATCAATCAACCAGTGACCAAATCAATAAGTTGGTACCTGTGAAGCAGAATTCGCCAAGCGTTGGATTGTTCACCCACCAACATGGAACGTTGTTACAGCGCCCTCTGTTGACAAATGTTTTTACAGATGGGTAATTATTATATTAGAATAGAATGGAAATATATTCATCAATACTATAATATTAAGGCGTGTTTTAGGATATTAGCGATAAATATGTGTTTTGTGTTTGTTTGTTGGGTTACATGGATTAGTATGAAAAATGTATATACTGTCGACACGGCAAAGCATTTCCCGTCATTTTCATAGATCGTTCATAAATTTTACAATTAAAATAAAAAATTTATTGGTCGATGGAATGAATTTGTGACATTTTAAATGATCTCATTGCCCCGTGCTCGTTGATTGTATGCTTGCATTCGACAACATTTATGAATATTTATAAAAATGATGGGAATGGGTATGTTGTGTCGAGAGTATTGTTTAGCTACCTAAGACTAAATATGGTCACAATGTGTTATGGTTTGTGCACACTCTAACACATTTATATTTGCACAATGGCTTTCTTGAATTTGCCAGTGGGCGTTTGGGGATTTTCGTGATT